TTCCTTCCTTCCTTCCTTCCTTCCTTCCGCCACTTCCTTCCTTCCGCCACTTCCTTCCGCCACTTCCTTCCGCCACTTCCTTCCTCACTCACTCCCTCACTCCCTCACTCCCTTCCTCACTCCCTCACTCACTTCCTTCCGCCACTTCCTTCCGCCACTTCCGCCCTTCCGCCACTTCCGCCACTTCCGCCCTTCCGCCACTTCCGCCCTTCCTTCCGCCCTTTCTTCCACCCTTCCTTCCACCCTTCCTTCCTTCCGCTCTTCCTTCCACCCTTCAGCCCTTCCGCCCTTCCTTCCGCCCGCCCTTCCTTCCGCCCTTCCTCCCGCCCTTCCGCCCTTCCTTCCTTCCTTCCGCCCTTCCTTCCTTCTGCCCTTCCTTCTGCCCTTCCTGCCTTCCTGCCCTCCTGCCTACCCTGCCTGCCCTTCCTGCCCTGCCTTCCTGCCTCTCTCTCCTTCTCTTTCTCTTTCTTTCTTACTAAAGGCTTTTTCCTTTCTTTCTTTTATAAATCATTAGTATTTTTGTAATAGCCTTTCCTTGAAACCACAACTGTTTCAGTTCTGTGCATTTCATTGGTTTTATAATGTATTTCGTCTGATTCAAATTTACTTTCTCTGAGCAGAATCTTTTCAGTCTCACTTTATACGCCATGGAACCAGTACACCTCACGGTCCTGCTCCTGATGGTGTGTCTGCTTTTCAAGCAATTAGAGTCATCTAGATGTGGTTTCAGAGCCAGCATCTCCTTTCATGCTGCACAGATTGTGCCGGCAAATACAGCAATATTTACAGCTGAACATAGTGGAGCAATACAACTAGTGCAAACAGAAACATTCTGAGTCATTTTTCAGAACAGGAAGTTATAAGACAGAGATTAATATTTTTGTAATTTTTTGTACTTAAATTTTTCTAGTTTCTTTTTTCTAGTCATCTGCATTAGCTTGCATATTTTTATTTTTGATTGTGTTTGGTTGCTTGGTTAGTTGGATTTTTTTTGGTTTTGGGTAGTGTTGTTGGCAGGTGGGTCAGATTTAGGTTTTTGATTTTCTTCTTTTATTACTATTTTTAAATTCTTCCTTTCTTTTTTTTTTTTCTTTTTTTTTCTTTTTTTTTTTAACCAAAGGTGTTTTCCTTTCTTACTGTTTAAAAACCATTAACAATTTTGTAATAGGCATTCCTTGCAACAATAAGCATTTCACTTCTTTGCATTTCTTTGCTTTTTAAACTACTTTCTCCAAAGCTGTAGAAGTTCATCAGATTGTTTTTTTTTTCTTGTTACCCTCTGTCTTTCATTTTTTTCTTGGAAATAGTGTAGAACAGAGTTCAGTAAATCTGGACCTCAAATAATTTTAACTTTTTCTTAGTACTGTTTATGCTGGATGGTTTGCTTTGAAATGTGTGAATGTTCTTACAGTGGTAGTAAGCAAAGTAAAATCTGATCATGTCGTGGGTTTGATACTGGCAAATGTTTTTTTGTAACTACAAAAAAATCATTTACCTATTCTCCTCTGCCACAGTTGAGCAGAAGCGGGGGAAAGAACAATTAAAAAGCTCATGAGGTGAGATAAGGATTAGGAGGAAAACACTTTAAGGGCAAAACAGGCTCAAAACTTTCAAATATATAATAAATTGCTATTAACAGAATTAAAAAAGGATCATGAGAACTAAACCCATGTTTCTCCTCCTCCAGTCCTTCTTTCCTTCCCACTGACGACACAGGGGGACAAAAACATGGGGTTTTCAGTCAATTTGTCACTTCTGAAAACCTTTCTTCAATTTGCTTAGGGTGAAGAGTCTCTTCTGCTATGCCATGAGGTCTTTCCCATGGGAGGCAGTTCTCTGTGAACTTTTCCAACATGGTTCTAATTTTCAAGAGTAGCAGCCCTGCCCAAATCTGCTGCAGTGTGAGACTCTCCCATGGACAGCATTCTACCCACAACTGCTTTTTTCCTGGGCCATTTAGTTCATGGCGGTTTTGTTTTAAGGATGAGCTGTTCTAGTATAAAAGCAAGGGTCTTTTATGTCTCTCTCTGGAAGCAAGGGTTCTCTGTCTCTCTCTGTCTCTCTCTGTCTCTCTCTGTCTGTCTGTCTGTCTCTCTCTCTCTCTCTCTCTCTGTTCAAGTCTCTCACCAGATCACAGCTTCTCGGCATCCACATGCTCCAGCGTGAGCATCTTTTTCTCAAAGGCTGCGAGTGAATTCTGCATTCCCCCACGCACTTCATGAGCCACGGGGAAATAGATTGTTGTATTATAGTCCTCACCACAGCTGCAGGAGAATTTCAGCTCTGAGGCCCAGAGCACCTCCTCCTCCCCCTCCATCTTTCTGCACTGACTTTAGTGTTGCCATGTTGTTCTCCCCACAGGTCTTCACCTTTTCTCTGACTTGGGAGAGAATTAGTGTTCATATTGTTTGTTCTCAAGTTCTAGCAAGTTGAAAAGTTTTACAGAGTTCTTCAGTGTTGAAAGGTTGATCCTGTCCAGGCTCCACATTGGGGAATTGCTCATCATGCCTGTCACTGCTGATCATGTGGTTCCCACGTGGCTCCACTCAGCGCCTCTCTTCATGCAGAGCACTGAAAAGGATAAAAAAAGCCGCTGACACAGCCTTTAGCCCTTCTGTTTGCAGCATGGCTGGCTAAAAGCAGCTAAACAAATAAAGTTCATTTCAAACCATGCTGAGATAGCTGCGACTGCATGGTGCTGCCCCAGCAATGCCAATCTTGGCCATGCCGTCCCGGCCATGTGGCCAGGCCCAAGCCGGAAGGGCCCCAGCACCTACCCACCCTTCCAAGGAAGAAAAAGGGAGTTCCCAAGGTTTTGTCTTTCGTAAATAAGTTATCGTAGAGGCATTACTGGCTTTTTTAATTGGCTTAGCAGTGTGCCTATTCTAAGCGGCAGTTGGTGATTGGTTTTGCTGGGCACGGAGAAAGCTTTTAGCAGCTCCACACAGAAAAATCATTTCCATGGCTGGCTTCTTCCCTCCTCACCAAAAATTGACCCATGCAAAACCAACATAGATAGGCCACGAAAGAGAATTTCCCAACTATTGAGATGATTGCAGACATTAAAGAATGGAGATACCAGTACAGACAAAACCAGAAGAGTGCACTTGTTCAGACAGCATTTATTAAGCTGGAAGGGTTTATAATGCTGAACACACCAAGCTGTGATGTCTCCCAGAAACTACTTTTTTACAACAAATACTGGAGTATTTGCAATTCTTACCTGATTTTAATCAACTGGCCATCCCTTGCCAACATTACGGCATATCCAAGGAATGCAGGTATCCCAGTACAAAGGCTCACTTTTTCATGTGGCTTTGCTTACACAAGTAATAGCTGGAACCAAATAGCAGAAATCACACAGCTTAAAAAGATAACAATATGAAACTTACGTTATAAATCACATCACGTAACTTCAGACAAGGTGTTAAAAAACACAGTATATTTGGTAAAGAAAGTGCCTTTTCTATGAAAAAAATGTTTGATACTCAGTATTCTTGTTATGTGACCTTTTAACTTGCCAGACTATTGCAACATATTTGAATATTACAGTTATTTTACATGTTGCCTGTAACAATATGCCTGACTAATACTTGAAGAGTATTAAGTGTTGATTTCAACTGATGGTGAAACATGTCCAGAAGTAAATCAGTCCCTTCTACAGCTAGTGTTCCCCAATAACAGTGACAGAGAGATTGTAGAATAAGTTTGTTTACTTGATTAAAAAACACACCCTAGCAATCATGAGGGTAAATTACATCTGTAAGTATTTGTAGCACTTCAAATAAACAGCTATTGTTTTCCAACCCTACCTAAGGCAGGATACTTGCGCTGATGTCCTTTGTCTATTAACGATTAATATCTATAATCAGGTGTCCTGCGTTTCAAATAAGGACTTAAGACAAGATCCAAACATTTACAAGTACTTCACATACATACCTTTGTGACGTACTGTGTATTTAACAGGCAATGCAGATTCTCTCTTGTTTTTCATTCTTTTTCTTATTTCAGCACAATGGAGAGAGCCTAGACATCGACATTTTAGCTGTGCACCAGAAAGTCAGCTTGACCAGAATTATGGCCAAGATTTCTGGCTGCTGCAACCTGAAACTGACCTATCCTCTGATGTGATATGCCACAGTACTCACACTGTGTCTGGAAGCAACACAACGGCCGGTGTGAGACCTGACAGAAACTACACTTTGTCTGCATCCAACATACCTTCCAGTGTGGTTACTGGCAGAAACTACAGTATGTCTGAAACCAACATACCCTCCAGTGTGACACCAGGCAGAACAGGTTTTGGGTCATCAATGGACATATCCTCTCACGTGATACCTGGCAGAAACTACAGTATGTCTGGAATCAACATACCCTCCATTGTGACACCAGGCAGTACAGGTTTTGGGTCATCAATGGACATATCCTCCCACATGAGACCCATCAGAACTTACAGTACGTCTGAAACCAACATACCCTCCAGTGTGACACCAGGCAGTACAGGTTTTGGGTCATCAATGGACATATCCTCTCACATGAGACCCATCAGAACTTACAGTATGTCTGAAACCAACATACCCTCCAGTGTGACACCAGGCAGTACAAGTTTTGGGTCATCAATGGACATATCCTCCCATATGAGACCCATCAGAACTTACCGTGTGTCTTCAGCCAACACATCCAATGTGACACCCAGCAGAAGAGGCATTGGGTCATCACTGGATACATTCATCAACCTAATACCAACCACAACCGATACTGGGTCATCAATGGATGCATCCTCACGCATGACACAAAGTAGAACTTTTACCGTGTCTTCAGTCAACATGCCCTCCAGACTTACAGAGAACAGAACTGGTACTGGGTCTTCAGTCAACACATCCTTCCATTTCAGACCACACAGAACCAGTTCTTTGCCTTCAGTCAGATCTTCCAGCCAGGACGAATCCAGCACCAGAAGAAATCAGGGAATTTAATTATTGGAGTCCTGGTCATGTCAGTTTTCTTAAGCAATATCCTAGCTTCTCTTCAGAAGCAAAAACCCCAGCAAGTAAAAAGAACTAATTAAAGTACAGTTTGTATTGCACCTTTGTATTGTAGTTCAGTGTATGTGTTTTTTTGTCTGTAATTTCATATTTTTGGAAAATGTGTATACATATCTTCACATTTCCATGTTTCTAAATTACTTGTACACCAAAACACTTATTTTCTTAACTATTATTTATGGCAATTAATAATTTTTATGTAGTATATTTTAAAATGTTATAAAACAACACCTTTTGTGTAGTTTTCTTGATTCTTTGAAAAAAAATCCACAAGCCATTTTGGTCTCTGTCTCTCAAAGTTGTTTCATACCTGCCTACATGCCCATAATATATTTTAAATTTATATTAAATTTAATAATTTAACAGGATTGAGAGGGGTCCATGAAATGTACACCAGTGATTCCTCTTGTGGAATGTCATGGCCCTGCCATGAGCCTCTTCTTTGTTTTCTTTTTTTTTTTTTTTTCTTTTTTTTTTTTTCCCCCTCCTATCAGCTCAACTGCAGACGCACATTTAGTTGCAAACTTAAGCCAGATGAGCAAAATAAAAATGATGTGATGGGCCTTTGGGAGCACCCTTTCTGCTTTTTTGGTTGAGCAAGACTCTCGTCCAGGCAAAGAGATTGCACTTAGTGATAAATTATCATTTGGCAGGAACTCTATTGATTTCTAGTAGCAGCTGGAGGCCTGTATCTCCTCAGGATGTTTTGGCTATCCCATGCTTTATTGAGTTTTGGCTGCAAATACTCTTGCTTTCTTACCTAGAAGTACCGTGGCTGGGCAAAAACTGTCCAATGGGTCATATTCCAAAGGCAGTTTGGTCTAGAGTTTGTGCATGAAGGAGACCTTTATCCAATTCCAAACCACATTTTAAAAAATTATAAAAGAGAACTTCCCATCCTTAACAAACAACTGACAATTCAGAAGTGAATGTAGAGCTTAATGGCAGAGTGAAAAAGAAGGGAATCTTCCAATGGAGTTGTGGTTTATGAAGTTTTTATTCTGACTCCCACTCATAGATAGCACTGGAGAAAGCCTATCTACCATAAATTGTTTTGCTGCAACAATCAGAGGCATCAGGCTGGAGAGAGGCATGGCTGATGTTAGGAGCAGAAGCTGCCCCAAGGATTAAAAAATAAATGAACATTTACTTCCCAAAGCCGCCTCCCCACAGGCACAGGATTCCTCTGGTTCCCAGAAATACACAGAAATAGGGCTGAGACCATCTGGACCTAAGTGCTCATGGCCAGGACCTTGCTGGTGCCATTTGGGTTTTACCTTTTGTTCTTTTATGTGTTTTCTATATTCTTCACACATATACTTGTAGCTCTGTGGCCTATTGTATTAGTGATTAGTTTCCCAGTATTTTTCCATAGCCTTTCCCTAAGCAGATAGTCAAAAAACTTCCAGAGCTCCAAGCCCCGGGGGTACAAGGCCCCAGGGCTATCTTGGTTCTTCCTGGGAACCAAGGCCAAGAGCAGCTCTTTGAGATACATTTTCATGGAAAAAGTCATACATCTTCATAGAGAAAATACAGCCAGTGCTGACGGGGGGACTCCAGAGGAGGAGCTTGACCTGGGGGGAATTGCATCACTGCTTATCCTCCATAATTGGTGCTTTTTATCAATTATGCTGATTGCCTAAAACCTATCAATATGTCCTCATCCCTGAAGGAGTGGGCTTTTGTGGACATCTTTCCGATGAGTTCAGCGGGAGAAATGCAGCACTCAATATGAATGATCAGCAAGTATCATTTATTGGTAACTCTAAAACCACTTATATAGCATCAATAATTAGGCTCATACATAGTGCAAAAGCAAGCTCATTATTGGATATTTCATTTAAGGTCAACTCCACCTAATTCCACATTCCTGTGATCGCTCATCTATGCTGAATTCACATTCTTCTGATCACAGCATCCTGTTCTCAGTTAACAGTTATCACTAAGGTCTTCCTAACTTTGCAACATCTCACACTGTCTGTACTCTATTGTCTAATTCTTTCCCAGCTAACTGCTGCATGGGAGCGTGACCTTTGCTATCTAGCCATTCCTCTATATCTTTCCATAACTGCCTCTGAAGGCTTTCATAAAGATCCCCTTTTATATTACCTCCCTACTAAAATTATTTCAAGTTTCATTTCCAGGTTGGGAAAAAGGCAACATTGCCATCACAGGCAAATGTCACCCATAATCCCACTAATCCATTCATCAAGGTGTCTTCAGTTTGCTGAGATTTTTATCCTGCTAGCTCGGTGGGAATGTGATTGCTGTCCAAGAGTTTTTTTTCTATTCAGGAAACTCAAGATAATTGCTTAGGTTCCTCTTTTCTACAGACACGGGCTATTGTAGTTGTTGAGAAAATGAGGAGCACAAACCATTCCTCAGGAAAACTTCAACATATCTTAGAAATGTTGATCCCAGTAGGCCTTAGGCCCTTGTTCTGCCAATTGACTGAGTGTCTTAAAGGACACAGACACCAATGAAAAGAAAGGTCATATTTTACTAGGAATACTATGGCAAAAGAAAAGTAAAATGATGCATTCAGTAAAACTACATGCTTGGCTTTAGCAACAAGCAAAAACAAGCAAGGTGGTCTCATTACTATGAGACTACTATAAGACTACTATTACTCATTACAAGAGACAGGATAGTGATTGAGAAAGATCCATCACCAATGGCCTAAACACTTCACCATCATCCAGAGTCCACGGTTGCTGTGGAGCCCCGTTTCACAGAGAGGACCTGGAGAACCCTTCACCAGCAACCGAGAAAATCCTACACGGTGCATCCGCCTGTAGTTGAGGCCTCCAAATTCACCCTGAAAGTGGGCACAGCTTTTATAGGCCCAAATCACCAAGTCAAAGTGACTTCATTACATTTTTAGCACAGGAACACCTGGATCTGATGGCACACTTCCCGACCAGCAGAGGCCAGGCCTTGGCCAGAGCCCAGGCCTTGTCTGGAAGGATTTCCCCTAAAATATCCTACAAACAAGCCTCTATTCATGTCAGTTGGGAAAACGTCTTAAAATTAGGGATTTCTTGCAGATAGCTACACAAGGTTATGTGTAAGTTTCTGAAGCACTGGTTTGGTGGTAAACAGCTGGCATAAGCGTCTCGGTCATCTATTTTTAGCTAAATAATACTGATGGTGTTAGTCATATAATGCCCAGGGTTCATCTTATAAGCCAATTTTGGCTGAGGCCTGCTGCTCAGGCCTAACTACCTCCGCCCTCTACGTGGGTTCACTTTCACAAACAAAAGTATTTGTTTAAATTGCAATAAGCTGTATCTAATTATATTAAATCTGTGTTATAATAATTTAAACTCTATTAGATTTATTTTTTATCTGAATGTACTAAACGTAAAATGCTAGGCAACAAAACCAGGCCTAGATTTTCTGTCCTGTGAATATGTGAAAGGGTTAAAAGCACTGTGCCTATGCATACTTGGGCAAGAATAAGATACAAGATTACAACACAGAAACTAGCAAAAATTAGTCACAAGCTAGAGATACAGGATGAAACTCGACAAGAAATAGGAACAGAACTTGGAAAAATGAAGGACAGAGCTTGCTAAAACCAATGAGGAAATCGCTGAAACAGCTCACAAGAGACTGAGCATGCCTAGAGGAGTAAGCCTGTGCTTTGCGTGTACTAAAGACAGTAATGAGTTTTAAGAAATAGTTTGCATAACCACACTTTTCTAAGGAAAACAATGAATATGCATACAGTATATCCATATAATGTAATCTGTTGTGTACCTGCGGGTGCACTGTTAGGAGGAGTGATCCCCGTGCACCCAGCACGCTGAATAAAGCAAATCCCCGCTTCTTGAACTTTGTCTAGGAAGTGTGTCTTGGCCCAGTTCGGGGCAATTCATATTCTGCATACAAACCCTAAAAAATCCTGCTGGCTTGCCCTGGCAGCACTGAATGCAGAGATCTCTCCATCCTCACCTATGCAGAAGTTACTCTGGTGCCGTAGCAATGGTTACATAATTTAAACTGTCTCTGACCTCTGGATTCTGGTACAAATTAGTAACTAAATAATAGATTTTGAATCTGGCCTTTCTATTCAATGCTTTTATTAGACTGAAAAGATTAGAGTTGTCTACTCTCTCTTCTTACCCTGTGGTTGTGATGAAAGGGAAGAATATTCACATTATTTGCATTTGAAAAGATGCAAGAAATTGGCAAAGAATTGGAGTTATTCTGCCTCACAAAAGATAGGATAAGGGTCATCATCAAGCCCAGACAGAGCAGGTGTGTGTTCATTAACAGATCCTCCAAAACAGTTATTAGTATTTGTTAGTACTACTTAGTTCAGTGTTGGTTCTTCCTTTCAAGAAAGCAGATTCTTTAAAGGTCTGGAGTGAATATTTAAACATTAGAACATTAGGCATTTAAACAGTACAATAGTTAAGCATTAGAACTATACAAGATTCCCAGAAACCCAGTGGTGAGAGTGAGAACTTTGCATTAATGCCGATTGGCAGCTGAATTTTTCACAAAGGCATATCAAGAAAACTCTAAGATGGAATTAATTAAAATGGAAATTGCAGACACAACTAGATTACAAAAGACAATTGTAATCTACTCACCTGGTACAAATCACTACGGAATCATTGAATTCAAAACCTAGCTCAGTGCTTGCTGGAGGACATCCATGTCCTGATTCCAAAGTGTCTCACACAATTTGTGCTCTGCCATTTTAATGGTGCCAGTAGAAATTATGGTCTTCCTGTAATCAACTTATTAACAACTACACAACATAATTAGTAAATTGTATGCAAACTACAGGATTGGATTTTTTTTTTTCCTTTTCATTGTGTAGTTTCTGTTTAGCTCGGATATCAGCAAGAGTTTTTAAAAGGATATATTGTTTAGTAGAAGGTATATTTTAATTGTTTAGTTTGTGATTACTTTTTAAAAATAAGAGCCTTCTCTTCCTGCTCAGAACAAGAATGTCCATCCTAAAACAGTGACATGGGTTCTTGTGACCAACACACAGCTTCAGTAAAAGCTGAAATGATATTTTCAAGAGGTGAGCCCAAGCTGAGGACATGCAAACGTGAGAAATGTTTAGGTAGGTCACACTTTTTTCCTTCAAGTAAACATGGACCCTTTTGTTCTCCCAACAAGGTTTCTCCCCAAAATTATCACATATTAATAATTTAATTTCATTCTCAAAAATCTATGAAGAGAAAAGTAAATGTTTTTTACTTCTCAGGTAGGGAAAGTATCTACATTCAGTGTGTAGAGGGATCAGACAACCCTTCCTGTGTTTGCTTTTATTTTAAAAAGAGCAAAGTCTCTGACAGTTTGGAAAGAAAACAACTGAGAGTACAGAAGCAGTTTAAACTGCTTTTCTCTTTAAATTGTTTCTATAAGACCAATATAAACTATGTTCAGATTGAAGCAGATGAAGATGCATCATTAGTTTGTGAGCCATTATCCAAACTCTGCAGCAGAATTGCATCTTATACTGTGATACAGCTACAGAGAGCAGTGGAGGTCCTTTGGCATTTATAGAGTAGCCCCCTTCCCACACAGGTCAGCCAGGAGGAAGATGCTGCTTTGTCTGAGGGAACAAACACTGTGCCATCAGTCCATTTAGAAAGAAGGAAACTGGATGACTTACAAACAAGCCTCTGAGCCTGAACAGGGCCTGAGCAGTGGAGGACAGAGTTAGCACAATAGATAAAGTCCTCATTGCAGAAATAATAGCTCCTGTTTCTCTGATGCCACGTGTAACAGTGGTCCACTGCCAGAAACTCCTGGGAAAAAAAGTATCATTAGGGATAATTTTCTTCCTCTCTCTTTTTCATTTCAGTTTCCTTTTATTTTTTATTACTATTATTATTATTATTATTATTATTATTATTATTATTAATCCCATTCTTGCTTCCTCCAAACACCTCCTGAACTGTTCCAGTAACAGCCAAGGTCACATTCACTGAGCATAAGTTTGTGCTTCCTCTGAAATTGGATGATGGTTCTCCCTGCAGTCCTTTGTTCTTCCTTGCTGCTCTTACAGGCTGGAGAGGGTCCAGGAGGGACAGAAGTGATCAAAGGGCTGGAGAACCTGTGCTGTGAGGGAAGACTGGAGCAGTTGGCTCTTTTCTCCGTGGAGAACACGAGGTTCTATGTACCTGATTCCAGTACTTAGAGCAGAGATACAAAGGGGACAGAGCATCTCTGCTCACAAAGAGCCACATGGAGAAGACAAGGAGCAGCAATATAGGTAACAGTGGGATGGGGTTTTGTGCCAACATAAAAAAGCAATTCTTACAGTAGGAACAAGCCTTTGATGGAACAACCTTCCCAGGGATGTGGCAGAGTCCCCTTGGCTGGAGGTTTCCAAGTTGCAGCTGGACAGAGCTCCAGGGAATCTCACCAAGGGTCCCTCTCCTTCCCACAAGAAGTTGTAACTTCTGAGGTTCCCTCCACCCTGGGCTGTTCTGCAGCTGTATCCAGAGCTCACTGCTCTGTTTTCCAGGCTGGTTCTCAGTTCCCTCAGTGCCCAGTTGTGCCCACACCGATTGTCCTAGTTTAGGGCAAATTTGGGAGGTAAACTCTAAATGGGGGTTTCCCCAGGGAAATCACTCCTCCTCACTAACTGGTCCGGGAAAGGAAAAAAATTCTTTGGAGAGAAGTGGAAAAAGCTGTTTATTTAACAGAAATTGAATAATATTAAATAATAAAACTTCTTGCTGTTCGATGGGATGGCAAATCTAGGAAGAAAAGTCCTTTTCGTGTGGTGAAGCTCGGCTCGCTCAGGTTCTTATCAGTCCTTTCGGTGCTGGAAAGTGCCGAGGCCCAGGCCCTGGTGTGCCACAGGCATGAGCTCCCGGGGTTTGGCTGGGTGTTCAGTCCAGAGCAGGTTTGCACAGATCCAAGGAAAAAGGGAAAAAACAAAGGTCCAGGGAACTCTTCTGCCTCAGCTAGCTAAAACTAACTAAAAGCCAGAGAGAAGCTCTGTCCCACTGTCTGTCCGTACTGCAGACACCACAGTCCAGGAGTGGGGTGTGTGGGAGTGATGTTTTTCTTTAACACAAACTGCGTGCTTCTTCTTCTCCTCACTCTCGCGCTCAGAGCCAGTCTTAAAGGTGCAGAATTTAATATACAACATAAACTAGGCGATTGGTGATGCCAGTATCAAAAAGTCACCCCAGGACACCGATGCAGATCCAGTGCAGGGGAGAGAAGGGAGCGAGCACCCAGCTGCAGGAAAAGCACACAGATCCTCCTCTTGCGTTCCAGCTGCTGGTAACTGTTGACTGTTGGCGTGTCTCAGCAGTGCCCATCTTGCAGCTTTGACTCCTTTGACCTATGGTGAGTCATCCTGAGATTCCAGGGAAATTCCCCCCTGGCCCCAGGTGCTCTTTATGACTTAGATGTTCTTCCACAGGTTTTTGGTGTCTGTTATGGTTAAGCTGCACAGGATTCAGTGAGAATTGACACAGCTGCAGTCAGAATTACAGCCAATTCCCCCAAAAACAGCATTGGGGAACTCCCAATATTTAATAGTTCGGGTGAAGTTTTGCTGGTAGCTGTTGGACATTGGTATATTTGGTTGACAAGTAAGGAAACTGCTCTTGGACAGTCAGACTTCCACCAGATCAGTTGTGAGGACACATAAAGCAGAATATTGGTCAGCAGTGCCACCTTTTTATCAAGGAATTGAAGCCTTAATGTGTGGGAAACAATAAAGGTAAGAAGACTCTCAGAAGCCACGAAAATAAGCCTCAAGAAAAAGCAGAGAACTTAGAGCTAGTTGCAGCTGCAAGGCCTGAAAGTAAAGAAGATACAATAATACAACATGCAAGGACATGAAACAATAGTTGAGTTTTTAGGCTTGGCCAAGATAGACCTTAAGACTGCAGAAAAACATGCTTACCAAAATAGTGGAAAGTTTTAAGCTTAATAACAGAGTATTGTGTATTGTTAGTAGAAAGCAAACAAGCAAGCATTGTTTGAAGAAGGTGTACGTATGTTTCTAGCGACTGGATAGAACAATTGTCTGTAAGGTTTAGCAATATGATATTGGCTGAAAACCTTATAAAATATTCTGTAACAAAGAGATCTTGAGCTACTTGTGGTAGACATGAGCCTGCTCCATCTCCTGTATCTGTACCTGAGACTGGTGCCTGAAATAAAAGTTTATGACGTATCACGCGGCAGTCCCGTCCCGTTTGTGAAAAATTGGCCTCCAACAAATGGTCCCCCAAGAGGAGAGTCATCTCCCAGAGATGTGCCCCCCACTGCCCCTTATTCTCAATTTATTCCCCAAAGTATTACATATGCATAGGATTACACAGTACGCCTGTTCATTGTCTGACTCTGCCTGCTCTCATCTCATATGATAATGTGTTCCATGCCACTCTGGGCTTCCTCGGTTCTTCTTTTGAAATGGGTCTGGGGTCTTTTTAATGAAATCTTCCTTTTCCTCAAGCTTGAACTTTTCCACTGTGTCCTGTTGGCAGCTCTCCCGCTTCTCTTGGACACAGTTCAGATCCCTTGGCTGCAGATGTAGAGGCGGTTCTTTCTTTTTCACAGTTGTCCATCCTCCTTGTCTCCTTCTACAAATACAACTTAAGACAAGAGGAATGATATATATGTATCCTTGGACCATTCATTTCATCTTGGCAATTGCTGGTTCCATTGTATTCCCCTTGCAAGCAGGACCTGTGTAGACTTGACTTTAACTAAGCACACTTAGTCCTACATTGCTTCTATCTTAAACTCTTTTTCATTCCTTTTACTTAGAATTTTCTCATAAGCTGCTCCTATTATAGTTGAAACCTTAATTTCCTAATTTTCTTAACTCAGATGTGCAAGGGATACCAGGCCATGCTCTGTCTCCACAAATAAGAAACACACTTTGCAACAATTGTAAGGGTGACTACTGGACGAAACGATGGAGGATGTGTAATTACACCATTGGCTCTGATTTTTGTAGGCAGGATCATATGGAGAGACATCCTGCCTGGAAATTGACCTGTCCCTTATAATTGCTGGATCCCTTAGAATTTTAGGTGTTTTACTGGCATCCCATCTTGTTCTATTGTGGAGGGAAGCCAGTCCTCCAAAAGGCTTCCATCTTTTCCTAGGAGGTCTCTTCCCTAAGATAAAACAAAACTACTTAGTCATGGTGACCAAACTGTGAACCCCTTCCTGCTTTGGGACCCCATGTTATCTCCTTGTAAACTAGTGGTCATTTTACTCCAATCTTAAACCATTGGTCCTGTTATAAATTTGTATTGTGATATTGGCTTTCGCAGATGAATATTATATAGTAAATACTTTTTAGCTATGCTAACAAGTCTTAAGTTTAAAAGAATTTCCTAGGTACAAGGCAAGGAAACCTCAGAGGGAAGGACACTGGGGCCCAAACTGTTATCAGCAGCAGGAAATGGAGAGCAAACTGTTACCAAAAAGCCGGTACCAGGACGTTGGCAAGGGGGAAAGATATGAAGCCCATCTGCTCTCTGAGGAAGTATAAGGGGCCTGGACTCTTATCAACAAGTGACCATCTGCAGCAGAAAGGAAACCAAAAACTCCAAAATAATGCTGAGCAGCTAGAATAATGATGACCAGCAAAAATTATGCTGACCAGCAGAAAATAACATGATCCAAGAAGGTGGAACCAGGGAGGGGACATGCTTGAATATGCATTAACCTCTCACAACAAGGATGGGATAAAAAGGACACTCCTGAGATACCAGGTGTGTTCCTGGTAACCCACCAGGGCACCCGGCCGTTTTAACCCTTTGCTTTATTTCTTTTGTCTCCTAATTGTCTTTCGTTTATATTAAATTCTTTTTATAATTTATTAAGTGAATCTCGTTTTTAAGAATTTTTGGGGGCTCGTCCGGGATAAGCACCTCACCTCTGGGACCACCGGAGATCCAGAACGGGGAAACAGGCGTGCCTTTGCTGAGTTCAGCAGATCCCATTCTGATTCCCCTAGCGTGGACCATGCGGCTGCAGGTAAAAAACCCGAGGACAAGAAGGGGAGAAATAAAGCAAAGGAAAGGGGGAAAAAGGCTCCATAAAACCGCGGTATTTTTGCTCCATAATTCTTGTGCACGAAGACCCAAAGAAGAAGACGGATTGTAAGTAATCTTTGGGGGAGCGGGAAGCGGGGGTTGCAAGATACCCCCAGGGTTACTGGGACTGGGTCTCAGGGGAGGGGTGAGCCCCTCGGGAAAGGGAGCCCAAGGTTTTCCTGGCACAATCCACTGGGAAAACAGAGTAAAATGTGGATTCTCTAAAACTTTGTCAAGTTGAGGATTAAATCCAAGAAATTTGGACTTAAAACTGCCAAATTGAGGAATAATCCAAGAAACTTGGGATATTTGACATATTACAGCGCCCATGGGCAGATATTAACAAGGGAAGTAAAGAGCACCTTATTGTCTTGCTGTGACTGGGTGGAGTTGAATGAACAGATGTGAGAATGCGTAAATAGGTGTGATTGTTGCATTGAAGTTTGTGGGGGTTTTTTTTTGGAATTGTGTTGTTAAAGAGGAAAGGTTTTCTGTGCTGTGCTGTAGTGAGGGTGAGCAATTGTTTTGTGTTGTTAAAAAGGAAAAGTTTTCTATGCTGTGCTGGAGTAAGAGTGAACACAGGTCAATGCTTCCACAGGGACTGGATCACGGTGGGGACACATGGAGGGATTCGCTTCCTCCCTGCGAGCTCCTGTCTTGGAGCCCCGGGGGGGGCAAACCAGAACTGGGGCTTGTAGCACAGGAGCTGCAGGGGTGTTGTATCAAATCTGTTCTCAGCGGGATAGCAGCTCTGCTCTATCAAATCTGTTCTCAGCGGGATAGCAGCTCTGGTCTCAGAGCAAAGCCAAAGTTATCTTTAGTGGTGATGGTCCCTCCGTGCCTTTCCTCCCCCCCTGGGCAACAAGAGCTGCTTGCGGGGGAGGGGTCGCTTTGGTGAGCTGGTATGTGATTCAGCGTTTGAAGTTGTTTGGGTTTTTTTTGGTTTTTTTGGGGGTTTTTTTTAGAAGTTTTCTTTGCCCCACTGTAGCGGCGGTGAAAGGTTTTCCTGGGAGATGGTGCTCCCAGAGCTACTCCCTGCCGAGCTATTGAGACGGAGGGGCGGGTCAGCCTCAGGAGTGCAAGAGAACTCCTGGAGCTCCGGCCGACGGTGAGTCCGGCCAGACCCTGATAAGATCAGGGCACGGAGGGTGCCCTGAGGGGATGAGTTCAGCCCATCCCTTTTGAGTAAAGTGAGGGCAGGGGCCTTCTAAGTCTTGGTGCCCCTGGATTGTTTAAACTTATTTTGGAGCTCTCAAGCCACAGAGCTGTGTTTAGGCGGCTGCAGGCAGGCTGGATTGAACCACAGATGCTGGTTCGGGTTCCCTGCTCCAGGCACAGGGGGATCGGAGGAGCTCTCAGTGACTCCTGGAACCTCCTGAAGCTGTGCAACAGGCCGGGAACATGCCCAATGGTGAGAGAGCTGGGTGAGTCCCTCTGGGACCCAGGTTTTCTATGCCGGGGTCTTATGAGACCCCGCACATTAAGTTCTGTGATTTCGGGAGTAAGGACTGGTGTCAAACTGTCTCAGAGAGCTTTTTCTTAGCCAGATGTGTGAGCGAGATATGGAGCAGTACTGGCGTATGGTATCAGCTCCAAACCAAGGGAGCTGCAAGTTGCAAGCCTTTGTTTTTATCGTGTTCTGAGAGAATTCCGTGTATGATGGTGCTGTGGTCTTCTGCAGCAATAAGTTGTGTCGGTGCTTAAAATTTGAGATTTCAGGAAGAGTATGCATCCTGGGAGAAAATAGAAAAGAAATGAGCTCTGTTTGTTTTTTGTTTTTTTTTTTTCTCTTGAGTGATTGCAATATTTATTTTGTAGAGAAACAAACCCATTTCTTAGTATGCCTTCCAATTTCTTTACTTTAGTGAATATCGTAGAATTTTGTGGTTGATTATAATTTTAAAGGCAAGTTGCAGTAATTTGCATAGTAGTCACTTCTTGAGGTGAAAACTTATCAGGTTGTCAATAAGTGTTAGAGCTGTTAACCCTAATGTTGTTTTGTGTCCCGTGCTGATGGGCACAGCCCATGATTCTTAACAGCAGAACCTGGTGTCAGCCTAAAAGCAAAATCCTGTGGATTGTTGTAAATCTTTTTACTGCTGCTGAAAATTATTTTGTCTCTTTTCACGATATGAAATGCTGATCATCTCTCTGATGATTGCTAAGGAGTTATTGTGATAGTGTGTTTAGCTGAAGATCAGGCTCAGAACTGCCATGATTTCTTGTTCTTTTGAATTTGCCAAGATGCACATGTCTCTAGGAGTGCTTGTGTTGTTTTGCAGCTGTGCTTATTACAGAAGCAGAAGTGGACCCAGTTAAAAGATTAGAATTAAGATTGTTGGTGTTTTGAATTGAGAAAAGAATTGTGGAGACTCTAAACTTGGTCTATTTTAATAAGTACATGTGTTATTTTGGAGATGAGTCTTATTTTGTGAAAGAAGAGTTCGAAAAATAATTGTAAGACTGGTTCTTGCTATAGATTGTTCATAGTATATAAGCTGCAAGTACTGTTGAAACATAAAGGTATTGTCAGAAACTTGTCAATGTATCTAAATGCCTGTAAGAATAAAAGACCTGATCATATCTTGTCATGAGAAAAGTTACACTAGAGATTATTCACATTAAGCAGCTGTGTGAGGATAGACTCCTTTGTACCTGTAGAAGAAAACTTAGAGAAGAATGATGTCTGTGTCTTCATTTCTAGCTTGACTGAAGATCTGTTCAAGGCAGTAGAAATAGAAATTGCAAGTTTGTTTCAGTTGGTAAAAGTAGCTGGCTAGCTGACTGGTCTCTGTGTCTGGCGCCTTTGATGGCTTTGGGGAGAGTCCCCAAAAGGAGGTGTTAGAATTTGTTGTTGATTCTGAAGCAAAGTAATTTGTGTAGTGGAGATTCTGGAGGGATGTGGTGTAAAGAGTGGCGAGATAATAGTGGCAAAGAGAAAGAGAGAGGTTTGCGTCTCTTTTCATTAAAGTTGTAAAGATTTTTAGAAAGAGAGCGAGAAGTGTCTTGTTGGCTCCGAAGAGTGAGCACTGGCTTGTGGGGAGAAAAACTTTCAAGCGCGATTAGAGATGAGAATTGTGCCTGAAATAGGAGATGTTAGGAGCATCTGGAGCGCTGGGTTAGG